GGGGGGGGGGGGGGGGGGGGGGGGGGGGGGGGGGGGGGGGGGGGGGGGGGGGGGGGGGGGGGGGGGGGAGGAGGAAAGAAGGGTGTACAGTCAAGAAATATAGCAATAATTTTATAATAATGATAAGCCAATAATGTCAAGATACAGATACAACGTCGCAGTTGAATGTGTCGTAATACATAAATAGATTATTATAAATAGATTACTATTATGATATTTAATATTTAATTGATAAATATGTTGTCACAAATTGTCAGCGCGCAAAAGCGAAAGGAAAACAGAAAGAAAACCAAGAAAAATAAATTCTTTTTTTTTTTTATCTTCTTCCTTCCAACTCCCCCCCTGTTCACAACCCCTCTTGCGTACAAGTCCGCCCACGTGCATGTAAGTTGAGCGGCGGCTGCCCCCACCCCCGTGTGTCATATCAACCCCCACTTGCACACAGCCCAACGGCAAAGAGGCAAACAAAAGAGGAAAGCAACAGCCAAATCGAGCAAAAGCGGCGGCAAGAACATCCTAGATGACAAGTCCCACATGTAAACACCGCCCCCACGTCACAGTCTAAACGACGGAACAAACCAGCCAGGATTCAAAACACGATAAAGGGAGTCGCCGCACGGCACACGAAATGAAAAACGAAACGAGTGCATCTTCCCGCAGAAAATGACCAGGTCCATCAGTTTGCTATAAATACTAACGAGTGTATTTTTTTTGCCACCTTTCGTGGGGAGATGCACTCGTTTCGTTTTCGTTTCGTGTGCCGTGCAGCGAGACCCAAAGCCTTCGATTACCAGCACCGGATGTGGAGCCATAAAAACAATCCCAGTTGACGATTCCCACATACAAGAGAGAAAAGCAGAAAAAAGAGAGGAAAGAGAGAATCGAAATTATTTTCTTCCATAACCAAGGAAGAGCCTGCTAGTACAGGACCGACGCTCGCCGCATCATCTGCCAAAGCAGAGAGCTAGCAACGTCGGAGTATGTATATCGTCAGTTATATTGCCCATGCGGCAGAACATAATAAAAAAATAAATATGCATGTCATATTATATGATATTACTGTGGATCGGAGCTTTTTTATGCCTTGTCTTATGACATCCTGGCTGGTCTTGTCCCGTCGTTTGGCCTGTAGTTGCCGGGGGCGGTGTTTGCATGTGGGACTTGTCATCTAGGATTGTCATTTAGGATTTGCTTTGCAGCCCCCTGTTCTGTTTTGTTTGGGCTATTTCCTTCCTCTTTTCTTTGCCTCTTTGCCGTTGGGCTGTGTGCAAGTGGGGGTCGATATGACCACGGGGGTGGGGGCAGCCGCCGCTCAACCTACATCCACGTGGGCGGCCTTGTACGCAAGAGGTTCTGAACAGGGGGAGTTATAAGGAAGAAGATAAAAAACTGAATTCAATCTTCCCTGGTTTTCTTTTCTTCTTTTTTTCCTTTTTTTCCGCATTTGCGCTCTGATATTTTTGTGACAATATATATATATATCGTCCAACAGAACTGCCTCCGGTAAACCGTAGGCAGAGAGGGAGAGAGAAGAGGACACAGCAAACTCGGAGGGGCTGTAATATAATATAATATACAAACTTACATTATACACATCTTGACCATCCAAATTGATGAAGTTCTCCTCCGACTTCTGTTGCGCTGAAACGACCTGCTTTACCGTCACTGGGAACAACGCATTTGATTGCGACCCCCTGCCGCCCTGAAGAAAAAAAAATAAAAAATTAAAAAAGAACGGGCATGGCCACAGACACAAACAGTAAATACACGGCCCACAAACACACAGCAAAAAAAGGTACATCCTGGATGTTTTTCTTGCTCATACCTCTCTCTCTCTCTCTCTCTCTCTCTCTCTCTCTCTCTCTCTCTCTCTCTCTCTCTCTCTGTGTGTGTGTGTGTGTGGATGGGGTATTGTCATGTTCGGTATACACAAGTCTACCAAAAAAAAAAGCATGACTGTGCCAGAGAGACTGTTTCATCGGACTTTCAACGGCTCTCATCAGGAAGTTATGTGTGTGCGTGTAATTGGGTCATATGTGGGTGTATCTGGGTGATAAGTGTGCAACTATGCATGCATCTGTGTCCTACGTCTTTATGTGCGCGCGCGCGACTCATTTGCATGTGCGTTGTCATGTGCGCGCGCGCTATACACAAGTCCACTAAAACAGCGCGCGACTCATTTGCTGTCTCATTGGACGGTTTCATTGCACTATCGGAATTACATCATCAGGAGGTGAACGTGTGGGTGGGTGGGTGGGTGCCAACGAAGGCGTAGATGATGTAATTACATAATTATTATATTACATAATTATTATATTACATAATTATTATATTACATAGTTATTATATTACATAATTATTAATTAGTGATATATATTTCCGGTGATCAGTTTGATGCCCTTTTCGTTTGCTCTTGGATTCGATTGTTACAGAACCGAAAGCTACCCCTTTGACTGTATCTGGACATATTTCCGGTGTTCAGGACGTGTGGGCCAATATTCACGAAAGGCCTGCCAGGACTGTTGAAACTTATATGATCTCGCGGCTAGGCAAGATGTTACCACCTTCGCCTGTATCTATCTAGACGGAAAGTTGCACCAAATGCCGATACCCCTTTGACCAGTTAAGTCCCCATTCGCCTGTATCTAGACGGAAAGTTGCACCAAATGCCGATACTCCTTTGACCAGTTAATTTAGATGCATTACTCCCTCTATTTGGACATCTGCTGAGCCGAAATGGGAAGGGCAGGGCCTACCGGGTTCCCGCCGAAAACATAACCGTATTGGTTTCCCTTCTTTTTTTTTATCACTTTAGGTGAGCGCGCCTAGGTTCAAGAAACAGATAACCGATTTAAAATTCCGTACAAGCTTTCTTCGATGGACCGTTAGATTGGAATCGGAATAGGGCGTGTAGTCGTCAAAACGTTTTTTTTCTTTTTTTTCTTTTCTTTTTTTTTAACGTTTTATATTTTTGCAGAAGCTTCTTCGAACCGTAGATTCGAATCGGACACCTTGTGAATCGATGGTGACAGCAGGAGGGTATTCTAGAAACTTGGACAGACCCCCTATGGCCTCCTACGTCAAAGGACGGAACGATTTTGACAGCCGAGCGCATAAATTGGTGGTCCCCACAGCAAATTGTGCGTCACTCACGTGTGTGCTGCGCCCGTCCACCTCGGTCGATAGTTTACGGGAGCAGCAGGCCGGTGATTCAGACGCACGTGACTAACATGCAAAACCGCTTCACTAATTTGATATCTTTGTTTGTGCCGATGGTCTGTGCAGAATCGCAAATCGCCTTTCACCTTCGGCACAAACAAAGATATCAATCAAATTAGTCTTGCACAATCGCCTTTGATATCTTTGATCTTTGTTTGTGCCGATGGTCTGTGCAGAATCTCAAATCGGTTGCTTGATGGACTAATACTATAATTTGTTAAATCAATCTGCCGAACCGGGCGTTTTATCTTGAGGGACTAACCTCCCACTTGTCTTTGATTCTATCCTTCTTGCTTTCTTTCTTGCTTTCTTTCTTTCTTTCTTTCTTTCTTTTTTTTTTTTTTTTTTCTAAGCTACACTATATTCTTCTCTCAAATTCCTTTCGTCTTTCACTACCTACCTACCTACCCCACTACTCCTAAGGCTATTTAAAGGGGACCCCTGCAAGCATAGCTACCTCACAACGAAGGAATTGCATGTTGCCCCCCCCCCTCCCAAGCTGCGGTAGCCACAGATCGGGGGGGGGGGGGCAGTGGGGGGTCCGGCTAACGCAAAGACCGAGCTTAAAAAAAAAAAAAGAAAAAAAAAAGAAAGGAAAGACCGAGCATTTTGCCAGTAGCTGCGCCTCCCTTTTCATCGTTTTTTTCTTTTTTTTTCCTCTTTCTTTTGTTCTTTTTTTCTTCTTTCTTCCTTTCTTTCTTTCTTTTTTCGTTCTTTTTTCGTTCTTTCCTTTTTTTTTCTTTTCTTTTGGGCCTCGCTCCCCTACTGACCACATACAGAAAAGACAAAAAATTATGGCGGTGAATCTTTCCATGTTCTAGCGGAAGGTTCGTTCTCATACTGCACATTTGCTTAGTGGAGCGAGACCCTTTCTTTGATTGACTGATTCATTCATTCAGATCGTTCACATCTTTCTTTCTCTTTTTCTTTAATTCATTTATTCAATTTTTAAAATAAAAAAAATCAATCAATCAATCAATCAATCAATCGCGTATTCCCTCCATCGCCATCGTCATCGTCGTAATAACGTTGTCTTTCTTCCCGACGCTACCGTCCTCACCCGAGTAGAACGCCCGGTCATTACAGCTGCATTTGGCGCAACCTTCGGTCTAGATGCATCGATAAATGACCGGGCGTTCTATTCGGATGAAGACGGTAGCAGCAGCGCTTCTGAGCCTTCGATGGTGGACATGGACGCAAAGAGGACACTGACGAGCCAAAAAAAAAGAAGAAAAAAAAAGAAGAAAAAAAAAAGAAGAAAAAAAAAAGAAGAAAAAAAAAAGAAGAAAAAAAAAGAAAAAAAAAGAAGAAAAAAAAGAAGAAAAGAAAAAGAAGGAAAAAAAGAAGAAGGAAAAAAAGAAAAAGGAAAAAAAGAAGAACAAGAAAGAAGAACAAAAGAAAGAAGAACAAAAAAAAGAAGACGAAATAAAGAAGGGAAAAAAAAAAGAAGAAAAAAAAAAAGAGAGAGAAAGAGATTAAGGAATATTCACACTGGCCGACTTCTTCTGGCTGGATGCATCTGGCGATAAAAACCGCCACGTTCACTCTAGAAGTCCTACCGTGAGTATGCCATCATGTCCTCAGGCATCACTAGGTTGTGGTCCCCACAGCTTATCCATTGATTAACGATTGACAATCCGAAAGGCTACAGGTTCTTCTGCATGTCTGTAGCCCTGGCTGGATGCATCTGGCGGTAAAAGCCGCCACGTTCACTACAAGTCCTACCGTGAGTATGCCATCATGTCCTCAGGCATCACTGGGTTGTGGTCCCCACAGCTCATCCATTGATTAACGATTGACGATCCGAAAGGCCACACGTGCTTCTGCGTGTCTGCAGCAATTGGGGCGATTGGCGAGTGATAGAATATATCTATTGTCACATTGTGAATCAGAGCGCAAAAAAGGGGAAAGAAAAAAGGAAAAGGAAAAAAGGGGAAGGGGAAGCGGTAAGGAAAGCTCCACCTGCTCATAACCTCTTACGTACAAGGCCAGCCACGTGGATGACAGGTTGAGCGCTGGCTGCCCCCATCCCCGTGTGTCACAAGGACCCACTTGCACGCAGCCAAAAG